TATATAGGGCCAAACATTTAATTAACTCACCTGTTATGCCTTGGCAGGGCCAGATCAAATTATTTCATGGGACTTATACAGCCCATGGGCTAGATGTTCCTCAACTCTGGTGTAAGTAATTCCCAGTTGAAAATGTTAACATCAGTTTCCTTGCCCTTCCATTTTCCTTCCAATAATTGAATTGCTATCAATAAGTTTATTTTTTCTCTAGCTTTCCAACCACTCTCTATATGTTCCAATCCTAAAACTGCCCCACACTTGACGATACTTTGGGCAGATAAGTATTTCTGGGGCACACCATGCTCACCAAGAGAACCAGAGGCTGATTATTGCTAAGATCTTAGAATGAAAGTCTGCTGGTCTGTGAGTTTATAAGTTTGTGCCCTCTGAATATTGTCGTTTCCATGGGGGCAGATGTAGGATTCAAATCAATACCTCACGTGCTTTGTCTCACCATTCCATTTCCTGTATATTCTCTTTACACCAGATGAGTCTGCACACTGACCCTTTGGTTCAAAATTTTAATTTTTGGTTAGGGTGCTGCTTTATACATCAATACTTCCTTCTTCCCAGGATTGTAAAAGAATATGCCATCTGGGAAGGCACTGGGAAGTGAGGCAAAAGTTCTCGTCCTCACTGCCAGCTGCTTGGAGACCAGCAAGTGGCTCCTAAGTCCTGGGGCATCTGGACCACAAAAAGGCAGTTCAGTGCATCCTGGGAATATCCAGGCGAAAGAATGAGCTTTACCTCGACTAGCTTCTCCCTGATTCTCCTGCTCAGCCTGCAGGCTCCTTTGTTCTCTCAACTGACAATGTGCCCATTTTAGAACTGAAAGGGGAAATAAAGGTTTCAATCTTTTCCTTTTTCTTTGTATAATACTTACCGAGTAGTTCAGTGCAAGTGGGCATTCAGTGATCATTTCCTTCTAGTACTTGCATTATTTTCTCTCTGTGATGGAAGTTTCTAGGCAGTCATTTCTGCCTACTTGCCTCTGCAGCCTCAAAGAGTTGGGACTTAAGCATAAGCCCAAGTTTTTAAAAAATAAAGAAGGGAAGGGAGGGGAAAAAAAAAGAAACAGACAAGCTGAATACATGGACAGATGGGGAGATAGTTTTACTACACTGGAATCTCAAAATTGTTAAAATTGCTGCCCAGGTCAATTTCATTTTCGCAATCTGTGCAGAAATCTGGATAATGTAATTTTAAAACTTAAGCAAATAATCCTTCTGTGTTAGTTAAAACCTAACCTTTATAGAAACATCTACTGGCCCTTGAGGTGAGTATCCTACAACAGTGTGAGCTCTAATGACTTTTCAGTTAGTTCGATGGATTCTGTGATCTGCCTGTGCATCACATGATAAAGGGAATGCACTTATATGTGGAGATACGTCGCAGTAAATTTTTAAAACTAAATTATCCCTGGGCCGAAAGGGTTTCCTGTGACCACAACCAATTTTCCTAAAATCTGTATTAAGACTTTCACACCAAAATGGGTAAACCTTTTGATTGTTAGTGCTCAGTTGTAGCTGGAGGCTAGTCTCATACAAGCTAAATGTATAGTAATAGCAAAAGCATACATTCACTGAATGCTCATTATGGGCCATGTAGTGGGTTAAGCATTTTAAATGGATTTGATCCTCAAAACCCTGAGAGGTAGAATTATTCTTACTCCCATTTTACAAATGAGAAAACTAAGTTCATAGAGAGATAAAAATAACTGGTCCAACTTGCAAAAAGTGCTATCAGGGTGTGACTTCAGGAGGCCTGATTCTGTGAGACAACAGTTAGGTACATGCTCTACTCAGACGCCCTGTTTAATCACTTTTATTCTTGCTGTTTCTTTCTTATTTGATATTTTCCACATTCAGTGAGCATCTTCCAGAATTTAAGTTTTAGAGGAATAAATTCTCTTTTGAAATGATGATCAGTGAGAATTAATTTTGCTTCTGACTGCATCTAACTTATTCTGAGAGAAGGAGATAATGGCTCAATGTGAAAGAAAATGCCAAGTAGATAGCAGAAATATGAGCCTAGGAGTCAGAACAGCTCAGACAGTAAAATGTAGTCTCTTGCATATTAATTCCACTCACACAGTAAAGAAAGAGACAATGTAAAGAAACCACTTTCTGATATGGATCTCCATCAATGATGGCATGGTTTGGTTGCCGCGACCAAGCAAGGGGGGTGGGGGGGTGGCGGGGAAGCAACATGAGAGAGTAGACTCTGGAGCTAAGCTGCCTCGATTCAAATCCTGGCTCTACTACTTCCTGCCATATGATCTGGGGCAAGTTCCTTGCTGCCTCTGTGACTCTGTTCTGTAAAAGAGAAATAATAGGACCTACCTTATAGGGTTGTCACAGGGATTAAATGAGTTCATGCCAATAAAACATTTAGAGCACCTCTTGGCACACAGTAAGGACCCTATGGGTGTTGGCTGTATCTTCACCATCATGATCATCCTGATCATGAGGCCCTCTAACATTGTGTGGCAAAGATAGCGACAGTGGTTTTATATTTAGATATTCTCGGGGCTTTTATATAGAAAGAGGAAATAATAGATTCGATTTATTTTAGGCTTTGCTAAGTAAAGCAGTTCTTATATCACCTAGATTTCTTTTGGTTTCAGAGTCTGAGTGGTAATTTATAAGTTTATTCAACTAATGTGTTGCCATGACTCAGTCTGAAGGAGGAATTTTGCTCCTAGCAAAAAAGAGGATTTAGCATCTTAATTGAACAATTATAAAATAGAAACAGCCTGACCACTATCCTGAAAATGTGAAGATGGGAGTGGCAAAAAAAAAGAGGGGAAGGGGAAATAATTCTGCCTTTAAGGTCCAAGTGATCAGGGAAACCGGGATTTGGAGTTTGACATAGCAAATTTGTGGTGGGGTGATATTGGTAAATCATAGCTCACGAAGTTCTCATAGATTCCCACACATGTAAGTCTTCACCCTGCTTCCTGCTAGTCATTGGAATGGATTCTCTCTGACACCCTTTGAGGGCATCCATGGGGGTGAGACAGGCTTCCTTCCTTCGAGGCAATTTGTTCCAACTCTGCCCACTCACAGGTGAGGAAGCCTGGCCAAATTCCAGAGGTGATTAGTGTTGAACCCATTATTTCACAGGGTTGAGTATGTTTGGGTGGAAGTGTGAAAAGCCTATAATTTCATAGCTGCTAGTAGAACATTTCTGCTAAACCTCTTTTTCTTCTAGAATTCTGAAAGGATCTCACATTCAAGATGATTTGAGGGCATTGCACCCACAGTTGTTACTCAGTCTTGAAGGTGCAGGTGGGAAGAATATAAATATTTTCTTCAAAATATTGATGATCATTTTGACCCATTTTTTTTTGTGAGATTGAAATCCTCTTCTCAGTTGTTGAAACTTTGAGGATTTTTCTCCCATAAATATAAAATTAGAGTCATAAGCTTAACTTAGACCAGTTAGGAAAAAGTATTACATTTTAAAATTGTGCCACCAGTGTTCTGTTGAGAAGAAATATGACATGGTTAAACCAAATTCTGAGTTATCCACTATTTCAATGCCTTATTCACCCTTGCCTATAAAGTGGAAGCATTCTTCTTATATTTATAAGTCCTTTGAATTACATTCCAAATGACTACCATGCAAATAAATTAGAACCACAATCATGTCATGCATTTTCTTTGTCATCATGGGTCATTGTCATCAAATGCTTAGTAATTTCACTGTACTTGCGTGACTAGGGGGAGACGTAACACCGAGCATCCATGGGTCAGCTATGTGGACTCTAGCTGCCAAAGGCGCTTCTCCATCTGAACAGAGCGCTTTGCTCAGCCAGTGTAGACATGGCCTGATAAACAATGGAACTTCTCCCCTGAGAGCTGAAGTTTGGATTGATCTAAGTCTTTAACTCAAAAAAATGTGCGCAGGTTTGATGAGCAGTTCAAATGCCTTCCTTTTAGCAGAACGGAAGCTTAAATTGGCAGTAATATGAAGAACAGCGTCATTTGTGATGAACTTGAAAGGCAGTAGCACTCGCAGTTGCACAAGCTAATCAAGGGTCTATCAAATCAAAGTTTTACCATAAGCTTAAATATCTGTGACAGGGAGGTTGTTCTTGCAGGCTTACATCTGTCAGGTCTTAACACTACACCTGTCAGAGTGCCACATGGCTCTGTCACTTTTAACCAAGATGTCACAGATATTGTGGGAAGCAACCTGCTTTGTGTTTTCTTCTCTAGGACTTTACTAGGAAAAGCTAACGTGAAAGGATTTTTTTTAACACTGCATTTTTATTTTGCAGATTCTCAGGCTGATGGAGTAGTGATGGAGTGGATTGACAACTGTAGTTTCTCCTCTCAGTGCAGAATGGCTGCAGGGAACAAATGCAGACATGCCCAGAGAAGTCTGCCCAGGGTGAAACAAATACCTTTGAGGTTTAAATCAGGTGTGTGAAAAATGCTGGAAACATGACTTTTGGGGTGGGTTTTCAAAGTTTTCTTTTGCATTTATATTTGTCAAGGAAAGTGGAAAGGTCGGTGGCTTTTGCCTGTTCTCCCAACTCCTTGAATGCTATAAAATACCCCCGAAAGGCTAACCTAATCGCTCTCCTAGGGTTTGCTTTACTCTACTTTACTGCCCGGATGGCCCTCATCAAAACTTTAGAATTTAAATACACAATTGTATTTTTTTTCATAGCCAAAAAGAGGTTTGTTTTGGAGATATTTTAATATTGGAAATTGAACTTTGATAGGCTTTATTTACAACTTGTCAATTTCCTTAGAAACATAAATACTATTGGTAATATATGAGTTAGCTACAAAGTACTGAAGAAAACATCATTCAAGTTATCCTTAAAAATATATGTTCACATTATCTTTAAAATGTTGTTAAATGAATGGCTCAGAAAAGGCAAGCAAAGTTATCTTTTTTTCAGAAAATGTAAACCACATTTCCTTACAGGATAAAGTTTTACTTAAAAGCCTCTGTTTAATTTATTCAGAAGCTACACAATTTTTGTTGCTATATTTTGTTAGAAAGGAAGGAGAGGCTGTTTCTACAGGTGTCATAGAAAAATCAGTGCTGAGCCACGGATTATTGGGTCCCATAGAACCATGGACACATGGCAGTGAAATTCTTCCCAAGGTGAGTGAGGGCATTGATTTTCCTTCTCATGCCTGAAGAAATGTGACACAAGGAATGGAGGCTAAACTTAGACTTAGAGACAAGTCTGATTTGAAACTATGCCTTCAAAAAATTAGTGACAATTTTTTTTCAATAAAATAAATGAGGAAATTGAATGAACATTTTAATATATATATATATATTTATATTTCTCATATGTTTCTTTTAGTTTTACTTCTTTACTTTATTCCTTTGTGTGCTTCTGAAGGGAAAAAATGAACTATTTGACCAACATTTTAACTGTAATTCAGAGCCAGTAATTTCTTTGTGGAGTAATTGTGTTACACACTATAAAACAGTCTCTCTCTTAAAACAACCAAGAATGCAATAGTCCTTCAGCTTCTAAGAAAAAGCATATTACTTACACATTCATACTTAAAAATATGAGTCCACCTCTCATCTTCCTTATTGAAACAGTGCGTTTTTCCAGCTAATTTGTGCCCAAATGTTTAGACACATACTTCTTTATTTGTTACTTATTTTACAGTTTCTTCTAGATTTTGCAAAGTTGAAAAGCTATACCTAATGCATTGGTTATTTTGCTGCATTGCTTAGCATTCCATCCACGCAGGCAGGCGGTGTTCCTAGGTCTGGAAGGATAAATCCCAGGGGAAGTGAGCTGCAGAACATTTTATGCATCACTCATTCTATTATGAGCCCTCTGCTGCTCCATCTCTATAAGGTAAGAGATTTATTGTGCGTTGGCTTCTGGAAGTAGGAAATGACGTATGTTAATAGCTCTCACTTCAAAGTGTATGTGTTTGGAACTCATAATGGGGATTATAGAAATTGTTTTATAAGTAAAAGAATAACTGGAACAATTTAAGTCTCTCGCACACGCTCTGGCACGTTCATCTGTCCCCAGGTAGCATTTGGTTGTTCTACCCCGAGACGCACATTCTGTAGTATTGTCTCCCTCATGTTAAGTGAGGTGGTAAATTGGTCATTTTTATAATGAATTTGAGCAGAGTTATGTGATCGAGAAAGATAATTCAGGTCTCAATGTAGAAAATTACCAAATTACCAGTTTCCTATGTCTAGGGGTAGATATAATTTGAGTTTTAATATTTTGTGGGATCAAAAATTGATTCTGAGAAATTAAAATATGCTAGCAAGTTCATGGTAATATATAAAATTACCTTAATATTATTTTTTATTGCTACCCAGTGGAAAATTCTTACTCTTTTTTTTCTTATCCTAAATTTTCAGACTGGCTGAACCCACGACAATAACAATCGTTTACAATTATACTCTAACTTTGGATCATCTAGTTAATACCCTAACTCTGATTATTTTGAACACAATGTCCTATAAGAAAGACTATTTGAATGATTTTACTGCATTAGTAATAAAACAACAGAGAAAAATGAAACATTCTGAATGTACCATCTGATGAGGTGAGATTTTGCCCTGTCGCATTAAATGAGATTACATTTGATTTTATTTGTCATTATCCCAGCCCCAAGAAAGTTTTCACTTATCAATTTGACACACGAACCTATAACATAAAGCTTCATATACATTGTCTAAACTGTGACCAATTTGAGACATTTAAAACCAAACTAATGGATTTTCTTTATGTATTCATTATATTATTTTTATTATGTTTCAACCTTTCCAGCTTAGAAAATTATGACTCATTTAGCATGCACATATTTAAATAAAAAATAAATTGTGTACATTATCATTGTTATGGGAGGGAAAGGCATACTATTTTCTAACTTTTGATAAGGTTTAACTGTTGATGTGTGAATTCTTAAATGTGAACAAACCAAAAATAATGGCATACTTTCCAGTGCTCTCCAGGTAAAATGGGAAATATAGATTTGTGGTAAGGGACAGCCTTTTATTTACTGTTATAAAATAAAATAATATAACATCTGCATGAGAAGAAAAGAAATGTACAAAAGACAATGAAGAGATAACAAAGGAACTGAACATATGGAAAGCCCCCCATGTCTGTAGATACAATATAAGGTTATTACATATCTAGCACTTGTTATTCGGTACATATCCATCAAAGTGGTCAGGTGTTCTCTTTGTATTCCCAAAATATTAGTGTTTTCAACACCGTTTATCTTTATATCAAAGTCTCCCACAATAGGTAAAATATGTTTTATCCATATCTGAGTAGCATGATAGTAGCTATTCTCTCTTTGGGTTAAGCACATCACATGATATTGCCTAAAATGTTGCCAAGTCGGATTTCTACTAGATAATTTATAGTTTGTAAAATACCGTGAATCTGTGGGGAAAAGCAACAATTAATTGAAACATAATTATCCTCTGTGTGAAAGTGGTCTGGGATGCCACATTGGGCCAGCACATGTCTTGGATTCATTACCACTTTCTTTGTTTGCTTTGTTGCCATCCTCCAGGTCCTTTCTGGGTGCATCTCTCTTTTGTTTCCCTTTGACTCTATTGTATTCCAGCTGACAGTGAAAGAACAGAAACCGAGCAATAAGACTGCACGGCTACATTTTCCAGAGCCACCAGCTGGGAGTTAAGTTGACTAAGGTTGTGAAAGCCCAGCCCATTTGGATCGCAGCAGGCATGGCAGGTAAAAGCATTTCTCTGTTAAAGTACACATACTTTGTTTCTTCAGGTTCTTGGTCTAATTTTCTCGTTTGCCAGTTGGGGGGGCGGGGGGAGAAATGAATATAGGTTGAGGACCAAATGCCTGGGGTATTTAATCAAATGCCCAGCAACTCTTGATGATAAGGTGCCAAAATTTCACTTTTGAGGATTAACTATGGTGGCTTTTGTCCACCCAAATGCATGTCTCCTTCTACCCAGCATGTTGTTGGGCTACTTTCTGCCATTGCCTAAATACAATGTGGTGGAAAAATTCCAAATAGTTTTAATAATAACTCCTGAGTTAGGGTGAAAATGCTCATAAAATATAGGTATTGTTGGAGTTCCTCAAACAGTCCAGTTAAATGCTGTTTACTTCTATTAAAACAAGACATTGAGAATTGATTTCACTGTGTTCTGTTAATTTGATTACTCTCTCATAAGTGGTAAGTATAAACCTCCTTAAATAGTTTATGAAGCTCATTTAATCAAACAAATATCCTAAAGAATATCACTATATTGGTCCTTGACCTTTTGACCTATCACCCTGCCCTGTCGGATGCCTTTGTCTCAGGTCCTTGCAATGAAAGCTTAGGTGTCAGCCTTTCGCTGTCAACAGCAGACTGGAATTGTACCCTCAGGGGCATTTCCTTGCAAGTGGTGAAATTGGGATGAATAATATCAGTTTGCATTCATATTGGATATATTTTTAGGAAGCTTAAGAGGACTATACAAGAGTCACTTAGGAGGGATAAATGTAATATACATTTAAGGTGAGAAAACTAAATTGTTGTGATGTGTCAGATTAGAGTGATAACTTCATAGCTCATTTTATAGATATGTCTAAATATTCTTCAGCTAGGTCCCGCATACCATATATTGAACTAAATTTCACCAAGTCTCTTCCTCACTGAGTTTAGAGCCTTCATATTCATCTTCCTTCTCTGGAGTATACCCTAGTTTGTTCTGTTTTATGTTCTATGACTAGTCTATTGATATAGCTTAACGGGTTAGATCTAAAGTTAACAGAGGGTGCCATGGAAAACTAAAAATAACTGTTTTTGAAATTTTAGCCAAAACAACAACATAGAAATGATTAAAAGCCCCATGGATGCCTGCACCATGACCGGACCTGGAATCTTTTCAGCAGTATAAGGTCCCTTCTGTGTTAGCAGGCAGATCAATTCTGTAACCACTTTGGCCTCAAGTTCACAAAGACTTTTTTTTTTTATAAATGTCCCTTGGGGTCCATGAGGAATCTATGATACTCATTTATTTTCTAAAGAAAGGTTCTGGATCAATAAGTTCAAAATATTTCAGAGTTGCCAAGGACTTCTTGTTTGACCAGCTCAGCACTGCCGTGGACATGCCCAGATTCTCTCCAACACCCGACACGGCTGACCCCCACTACACTTTAGTGCATTGAATGGCCTGGGAGCTAATATAATAGCATGAGGTCTAACATTTGTCTAGTTAGTGCTGTCTGGTTTTCAAAATCCTTTTCACAGGAGAGTCCTGGTTTGGGGCAAGAGGTAAAAGGACAGGAGACAAGGATAATGACATTTTTGCGATTCTTTTTCTAATTTGTTAACTGAAAAATGCTGGAGAATAAAATATCTTTCTTTTGGTTTTGGTTCAAATAATTGTCTGAAATGTGAATCACAGCATAATTGTCATGAAGAAGAGAAAAGGAAGGAATCAGTTACCTTTCAGCTGCTCTGGTTCCGAGGGACCCACTATGATATCTGTTAATAATAAGCTAAAAGGAAGGGTGCACCATTCCTCTCTAACATGACATAAAAGAACAGTTCCCTAAACAGATTCATTTTAAAATAGGAAGGCCAGAGGTCCATAATCCAGGAGAAGTACATGCGTACATGTATTCATATGCACATACGTGTCCAAATGTTTCAGCTAAGTAATAAAAATGGTGAAGAGGAGAGAATAGGACCCCCTAAGGGTTTGAGGGCTGTTGGTGTTGCCTTAAGGCAACCAAAGCAAGTCCATTTTTAATTTGAAGCTTTGGGTTTTAGATTAGATATTCACTCACATTTTACATTCTGTTCCATTATGTATCATGATAGTTTTATTATTTTAAAAATTTAAGTTCCTTACCTTTGAGAAAATCTGGTGTTTGAGTCAAGTGTGCTATGTTTGCCTTTTAATGACTTATTCAGAGAACATTTATTGAGCTTCTATTATGTGCCAGGAACTATTTTACCTCTTTCCCCCAATACTATCTCATATCCCAGACACTTTTATTTAATTCTGAAAAAGCACAGAGTAGACATATACAAGGTTATGAGACTGATGAATTGACAGTAGACAGGTGAGTTATAAATTACCATAATGATGTGATACTGTGCACATTTTCTTTTTTGCCCAGGGATTTTATATGATCAGTCTCAGAATTTAGCAGAAAGCCTCATAAAAGTTGTAAATTTTGATTAAACTTAAAGCAATTCCTTCAAGCTTTAAAGGTTACCTTTTCATTGTTTTTAAGAGATACAGAAAGTTCTTACTTTCCATTTCTACTTTTGACAAGAGCTTTTTGCTTAATGTTTATAACTTTCTGTTTTCACTTTTCCCTCCTTGTTTTCCATCTTTTCTGACAATGAAATGCAGCATTTTTTCCCCTTCATAGTCCAATTTCATGTATTTGGTATATGTTAAAACCTGAGTGGATAGGGGTTCTGGCCTCTTGGCTGCAGGGCCTAAAATAGTGTGTGTGTGTGTGTGTGTGTGTGTGTGTGTGTGTGTGTCTGTGTGTCTGTGTGTCATGATAGAAATATTGCATCTTAAGTTTAGGGCACAAATGTACTGGTTAACTTGGAATTGGATTGACTAGTTTGAGTTTTTACTCTACCACTTTCTAGCTGTATAAACATCAGTGTCTAAACCTGCTTCTTTAGTTATTAAATGAAGCAAGTAACATATAACCCCAGTTGGAATGCTATAAAGATTAAATGCAATAATGAGTGTAAAACACAGTGCTTGGCTTATGGTAAAAGATCAAAAAATGTTAGAATAATCTTTAGTGTTACTATTATTTATTACGTGCCTGTGCATATACACATCTACCCCCAGACACAATTTTTCTATAGAATGCATATTCAAAGAATGATGGCTACTGTTAGGCAAAATTGTGAAGGGACAGATCCGCCTTCAGCATTGCTAGTTTCTTTGAGAAGGTGTATTCTTTCCTTACTTCCTTCAAACGTCCAGTGCCCTGCCTCTCATCTTACCTTTCCTGCTAAAACCTCCTTTCAAGTAAGGACTGAAATTTTATCTACACAGAGGTCTAGATGATTAAGAACATTGGGGGGTGGGGGGGTTGTCCTTGTAAAGGTCATGACCTCTTATCAAAGATCAAATACTGGGCTGATGAGCTGGTAGACATCTGGCAGCAGCTGGAGACATTTGTTTGTGGGGTGATCTCTCCCTTGCCTTCTGGAGCTCTCCCGAGGTGGGAATGGTTAACTAGGCCAAGGGATGCAGTTAGTTCTGCTGCCAAAGGTGCCTGCTAGGGCTCCCCTGGGGGTTTGTCTGACATCCTCAAAGGCTGCCTCCCTCTCCAAGCCTGGGGCCATTTAGGAACGATTGTCAGCTTCCCCCCTTCTTCCCCCCCCCCTTGTGTCTGTGGGTTTTTGGATCTAGTTATGCCTGAGACCACAAGCTGTATTCCTTTAAACCTTTTTCCCTAATACTCTTCTTTATTTTTGGATATACACCTATTATTTTTTCTACCCACATCTCATCCATATAATTCATTTTTAGTTGCCCACTGTATTTCTTTTACAAAGGCGTGTATTCATGATTTAAAGTTTTCACACATCAAACCATTATGCTGAGACATTCTCCTGACATGGTCTTCTTTTTTATGTAACTCTACTTCACCTCTGGCTTTTGGTGCACAGATTTGAGGGTTTGAAGGGCCAGGTTCAAGTTGAAGGTATGCCTTCACCAGCAATCTATGCTTGGAAAACCAATTTCTCACCCTGGGTTTGTCAATGAAGTTGGGATAACAAGGTCTGCCATGGTGTTGTAAGAATCAAATCAATGTTTTGTAAACTCAAAAGTAATTAGAAGCTTTCTGGCCTTTTTGCCCATCATAACGCCCCCTCAAGTAACATTTTTTAAGGGAGGGCAGTGGAGACACACATTATATTAGTAGTTTTTGAAAGAAGAGATAGGATCATCTCTGTCGACATCGTTGCTTGTTACTGAAATAGCTACATGTGCTTCTTTTAATCATGGTCAGTTCCCTCTGCCAGTGTGACATCTTTAATGCAGGGACAATTCTCCAGAGGAGAATATTCTGAGATGAAAATAAGAGGGGAAATGTCCACTAGTAGACAAGAGGCCAGCAATGAGGGGCTAGATCTATAAGCAGCTTCTCAAAGGACCCTGTAGAGCTTCTGTATGATCAGGCTGAGAGGCCCCACACCACTCCAAAGTGTAGACTAGGACCTTGAGGCATAAGATTTGCAGGATCCTCTACACAAGTGAGAGACAATAAAAACTAGTAGTTTTTGAGTACCTACTATGTGCAAAACACTTTCAATACTAATAACTGCTAACTTTGGAGTTCCGCTAAACACCAAATAGGCAGAGTGGCAGACTTTCCCAGTTATCTAATCCTTACAACTTTTGGACACTGGGATTATGTCCATTTTATAATTGAGGAAAATGAGGGCCCCCTGACACCAAAGGCAGTGTTTTCTGGATTTTCCCCCAAATCTGGAAAAATAGACAGCATTCTGTGCATTTGACAGATGAGGCAATGGGGACACAGACGGTTTATGTAAGTTGTCCCCATGGCTCTAAATAGAGGAGCTGGAATCCCACCCACATTGACCTGACCTCTTCATATTAGGCCACACTGCCAGTCTGAGTGCTCTAAATCTCAAAAAGAACCTGTTCCCCTCCTAATTTACATGTTGTGTATTGACATTTTAATAAAATAGAATAAAAATGAATTACTGG